ATTAGTATGTATTATTGTAAAATTGTAAAAAATACATTGAATTTCGGTACAACTAATTAAACGAATAATAATAATATAAAGTGTCGCTATTGATTAGGTTTCACGCGTCGCATGCCAATTAATGTACATACGAGTATATCCGCATACATGCTTATTGTAAACTTAAATTACAGATTGTATGTTTTAAAATTAAGTTAAAAAAAAAAAAAATAATAATAAAAAAAAAAATCAAGAAATGTAAAAAAAATTTAATTGCCTATATTGAAGATTTAAAAACAGTGCGTCGAATCCCGCACAAAACAATTTCCGTGCGAGACGTAGCTGGGTACGGCAGCATTTCGGACGATAACGAAAATAAACGGACGTCGTAGGCGATTTTTTGCGTGCACGTTGAAATGTCGAAAACTACTTTGGCAGATGGCAGTGCTGTTATTATTGGACCCTGAGACTATGATTGAGCACTGTTTTTGTTTAGAGAGAAAAGTCGCCTGCTTTGGTCGTAAATCATAAAAGTGATTCTTTTGCATTCGAAGATTTTGAAAAATTCTATTTACCGTGATGTGGAGAATAACACGTAGAACAGGAATTTTCATTTACTATACTTAATCTGCTTAAATTTTTCAAATTAAATTCTAAAAAAAAAAAAAATGTTACGCCTTTTTGGGCTATGTGACTTCCAGACCCGTAGCCATGAGGGGGCAAGGGGAGGGGGCGTTACCCCCTCTAAAAATATTAAAATTATTCTCAAAGGTAATCAATGTGAAATACCCTGCTTTCCAACTTAACTTTATTGGTATTTGAGTCCAAACGGACAGAAAACTTAAACATGGACCCATAGGCGCCAGAGTTTAAAAAACTTACCTAATGGGTGCCCGGCCTTGATATCAATGCACAATTCAACTTTCTAAAATTTTAATTTTGGCTCTCCAAATTGCGCCTATTGGTGTCATTATTTTACTACTTAACTAAAAATATTTGCATTTTCTTATAGATTTTAATATTATATATATATTAAAATATTAAATAATACAATATAATAATATTAACAATGTTGTATACTGAAAAATGCAATTTCATCATTGATTATAAAGTATTATAATTTATAAATTATAATAATAAATAACCACACAACAAAATAAATGCGTAACAAATTGAGTTTATTTATAAATAATAACAAGTAAAACAAAAAAATTAATGTAATTTGATTGTTTACAAAAAAAAATGTGTTTTGACGTATTTTAGTTGAATTTATAAATGAGTTGACTATTTGCATATCTATATCTTCATTACGATGGACATGCAATAAAGAAATATATCGTTAAGACGATTTTGTGTCATTGTAGATCTTAAAATAAAAATCGTGTTATCTTATATTTTCTTATCAATACAATTTCTTTTCGTTTACTACATTTTGAAATTTAAATTTTTTATCACAGCTATAATTTTATTGCAATATTCGTTTTCTAAAATTGTTGAAACTTGGATATTTGGATATAAATACACGTTATAAATATCCAATATTTTAATGCCCCCCCCCCAAATAATTTTAATTGGTGCCTTAGCCTTCGGGCACCCATCTACATGACGCCTATGCATGGACCTATTACCTATTAATAAAATTCAACAAGCAGAAGAATAGAAAATTACAGCTGTATTAATTAATATTAAAATGTTCAAAATTTAACCATGTAACATCAATGTAATATTTAATTATCTACGTAAACTTAAATTTAAGTTTTATTTTTATTATTTAGTATTATTCGTTTTGTATTTTTAAAATAAATGTTTCATTGTAAATTCCCAAAATATTCCATTATAAATGGATATTAGATGGAAAATTACAGTTGTGTTAATTTAATGAGATGTCAATGTAAATAAATTAAAAATTGCATCAATGATGTTTTTATATATAAAAAAAAATTGTTCTGGGTACAGGCCTGGTGATCACTATATCAGCATCCAATCACCATCAATTGAAAACTCTTGAACGACCGCTATTCAGAAAAATCCCCTTCACCACGCCACTAGACACTGAGTGGCCTCAACTATACACCTCGTATTTTCTACATTGAGATTGAAATGTAACAATAATAATATTACAGTTCAATAGTTTCTATATTCATAGTCTAAGATTAACTAATTAATTAGATAACCTATGTAAATCGATGTGTTACACGACAGCGACGAAACATGTCAAACCACGACTTTCTCGCTAGTTTGCAACTGCAGTTGTTAATGATTGTGTGGGTTCTAGAGCAGAGAAATCCAGTGATCCACGCGACCGACCACTGCTTGGTAGGGTATGCAGACACGGTGAACTGGCGGAACTTATTCCGCCAGGTTCTCAACCGTTGGAAAAATACAAAAATGCCCGACGAAAATCTACGGCAGTGAAGGCTCTGGCCGTCGGACGACGCGGAGGGGTAAAAACGCCTCGCGACTTGGAAAGCCTTTGAGCTCACTTGAAAGTTGGCGGTAGATTCGAACCGCGTTTGAACATTAACTAATATCTAATTGTTAAGGGTACTAGGGCGTATAGTTAATTGTTTTTTCATTGTAATTTGTAATTATTAACTTTTCAAATATAATAATGCATTATATAATTATTAATTTATATGATATGTTAACCCTTTCAGACTAGGATAAAAATGTATAGGAATATATATATTATATAGTAAAAACGGATAGGAAATGTTATAAGTTCAACCTCAAACGTTTAAAAAATGTTTATAATTTTCAATTTGTGTCATATGGGTTAGGTTAAACTACCTAATGGAGGCTGTAGTTCTAGGAATATATTATGTTGCATAAATACTTACGTGTTATGTTGAATTTGAATCAAATAGTGAAAAGGAATATCTTTTATAAAAAATTCCAGAGATTAAAACCAAAACATTTTTTTCCAATTTCTATTTTAGTTTTGATTTCACCGATTTTCATTTGTTTAATTTCGATATCGTTAGTAATTTTTTTATATTAATTATTAAACAATTTGCGTTTTTTGATACATTTTATTTTAATTAAAAAAAAGTTATCTGTAGCCCACCCAGTTTTATATGTTATTAATACTAGTGGTGTAGTGTAAGCCCCTACAGGTTTGCTGATAACAATTTAGCCTACCCAAAAATAGAGCTCTAGTTGCGTCTATGATAAGCGCACAAGACTGTACCTATAGTAAAGAAACAGCGCTAAATAAGTTTCCGTGGGAGCTGTAGTACAGTCTCATTATAGCACACTACATCTATAGTTAAAACTTAAAACTATAATTATTTATAATAATTTATAACAATAATACCTATATCAGCGGCTAAGCTTGATAAACATCTATGTAGGTAATTATATAATATGTTACTTTAGTACCTATATTATTTTAATTAATAATCTCAAAGTTTGTAAATCAATAATCTTTTTAAAAAAAATATCTAAGTAAAAATTAAGAAATAATTAATATTATTACGAATAACTACCGTTTTTGTTTTTGTAAAATTACTAATTTTTAATTCTTTGAACTAGAAATTAATTTAAAAGTTAGCGATAAGTTATAAATCATAACAAATATAATTCTAATGTTATACCAAACATATTTTTTTACAAAGTTTAAAAAGCAACGGTTTATTATTTTTTTTATTTGTGTGCAGTTTTAATACAGTTTTATACTTAATTAGTGGGCACCGGTCCAATGTGCGACCTACATATACATTTTCGGTCCAGTGTGCGATCTACATATACGTATTGACCTTTACTGCATTTGTAATAGTTATTATAGTTATTAATTAGTATTATTTTATTCTTTAAATTTATCCATATTAATAGTTATTATAGTTATTAATTCATTTATAATTAATTATCCTTCTTGTCTGATAAGAAATCATCGTAATTTTATGTATAATTATTATGTCATAAAAGTATCTTTCATGTCTGATAAAAATTCGTCAAATATAGTTTGTTTGTTTGGGTGATACAGGTATCCTAATGTAGCACTCATAATAAAAAAAACAAATTTACTAAAATCACTGTAACGTCGTGTTTAAAATAACGTAATTCGACAAAGACAGTGAGACTGTAACTGAATGCCGAACGGTTTACAATTATCACGTTTGTGTCTCTATTCTCTTCACAAAAATAAATATATTTCCCCATGCTATATAGAAAAAAACACAAGTTGGCTGTAGGTTGCACGTTAGCCCGGCAAAGATAAGGACAGGTCAATTATCAGTTGTAGGTTGCACATTAGACCAGTGCCAATTAGTGTTATCTGACTAAAACTGATTATTTTTATACCGGGTTGTTCAGTTTATTAAAGTTAATATTATTAAGAATATATTTTTACGTAACAGATTAATTACAATTCTATTTAAAAATAATAGAATAATTACTATATTTTACATCTTACTAAATAATTACAGTCTTTTATGAAAGTCTTCGGTAGCTAATTCATATAAAAGATGTAAAAAATACATACTATATATATATTAGGAAATTATTATGAGTTATATGTGATGAAAAAATGAAATACTAGATTTGATTATTCACAAAACTGTAACTATAGAAATTAACACTATACTTGTAAAAAAAGACCCTGAAAACTGTTATGTATTACACATTAGTGAATAAGTCAAACAAATCGCACTTTGTAACAAAAATAAAAAACATACTTTTTACAACCTAAGTGACCTATAAGGAACCAATTATCTGTTTAGTTTTGTTCCATAGCTTTTTTTTTAAGCCATAACTGATAACTTGTTCCTATTTTAGTGTTAAATGTGAAATATATAATTGTTGGTGATCTAAACTCGTATCCTGTTATATATATCGTTACTTAATATTTTGTTTTAATTTCAAATAAAATGTATTTTAATATAATAGTTAGTATATTTTCAATGTTTGAATAACATTTTTATTTTTGAAAAAAATTGCAGTAAATAACAATTTTTATTTTGTTTTAAACCAGTTTATTTTACATACAAATTGTATAGAGTCTAATGTGTGAAATAGTAAGTTATAATCTACAGTAAAGACATTTGAATTGTTTATTCAACGGATTTATACAAATTATTAAACTAAATCTAATTTTAATCATCAAACACAGTATGTAATTGAGATTTATAGAGCAATGTATTAAAATATGTTAGTGTTAAATATAAATTTAATTAGTATTAATTTAAATATGTACGGTGTATTTTATTTATTTTGAACAAAAATATACAGTTTATATATTAAAATTATGTATAATAAGTATGATATAGAATGTTACCTATAGAAATTATGTTAAAAAGTTGGCAATTCTCCTCGTGTGTCGAGATTCTTCTCGAAATTCGAGTACTTTATATTGTCAAATCAGTATTATTTTTACCTAAATAATTATAGTAGTAAATCATTAACTAATATCAGTTGAAATTTTAATTTTATTGTATTTCATAAAATGTACTTAAGATTCATATACTTTTATAATAAAAGTATAATATATAATAAATGTATAATTGATAAATGATCAAGTTTCAATGGCTTTATATATTTTAATATTGATAATTTACTTTCAATTTAATATTTTTTTTTTATATTTTAGGTCAAGAATGGATGCTGGAAATAAAGAACAACAGCCTCTAAATCCACGAACCAACGCAAATATCTTTGAAATCTTTACGTTTAGGTGAATTTTATTAAAATTATTAATTAATAACCAGGAAAATATGTAAATTAAATTATAAATTAAAAATATATTTTCAAGGTATTTTGAATCAAAATATACCTATTATTTCAGTTGTAACTTTGTAAGTTTTATTCGATATAACTTGATTTATTCCTATGATAATAATACTATCTTTATTTACTTACACTAATTTATTATGTGTAATGCTTTTAAAGTATATTAAATAAATAAATAAAATATTTGAACATTTTCTAATATTTGTAAAATTTAAACATGATAATAATGATTTATAACATAGTTTTTTTAGTAACCTCATTTAATTAGGTTTTATCTTATGTTAATCCGTGTTTAGACTTTAATAATCTGAATATAGTTAATATGTTTTTGTTATAATAATTCGAAATTGTTAATTAATTTCAATTATGGTTTGTTTGTTTGTTTCAGCTGGATTTTTAAACTTTTCAAAGTTGGTCGAAAAAGGGATTTAGAATTCAATGATTTATATATACCTCTAAATAATGACAGATCGTCGTTATTAGGAATCGAATTAAAGAAGTAAACTTGATAACATTTTAAGATAGTATTTAAATAAATAATTCATTTTAATTGAGTTATATTTTCCCAATTTTTTCACTAGGAGATGGAAAATCGAGATGGTTAATGCAAATAATAATTATAGAGAGCCTAGTTTGCTAAGGGTATTAGTTCGAATGTTTGGTGTTAAATTTGTATTATATGGAATAATACTAGCATTTGTTGAAATTTTTTTAAGGTAAATTTATTAAATAACTATTGTAATCCAAAAATATATTCATCGCCTAATGCTGTTTTTAAAATGAGCAGTAATTTTACTATAATTTTATTTGTTGTCTAAACTCTTAATAATATAGGTATTCTAATGGGATAATAAAAAATAATTGACTAAAAATATTGATTTCATTATTCTTAATAACATAATAATGTTATGAAATACATTTACTGTTTATGATTAAAATTTGTTATCGTTATTACTTATTAGATAGTTCTTAACTGCGGTGTTCAAAAATTTAATTTCAAGGTTTTATTTAAACTACATTTATTATTGTATACTATTTGGAGAAACCTTTGAATTAACTGTATTTTTTATTAATTGTAAATAATTAAATGGTTATTTATAAGTTACTAGAAATATGTATATTATAAAATATAATATAAAAATGTATATCTATTACATACACGGTATATTTAGATATGTAAATTTTAGTTTTATTTATTTTTCTGTATTGTTTTAGTATAAATAACAAATTATTTTGTTATTTATGAATGTTTTTTCTATAGAATGTCTCAACCTATACTTATTGGTGGATTATTAGAATATTTTAGCCCTGAAAAGTCTAATATCAAAGACTTGAATCATGCATACTTTTATGCATCTGGTCTATTGTTAAACATGTTGGCTAATATAATATTGTTTCATTATTCACAAATGGAAATGTGTCATCTCGCAATGAAGATTCGAGTGGCTTGTTGTTCAATAATATATAAAAAGGTATATCAAATTATCAACATAAATATATTTCAAATTAAAAATAAGTAAAACAGATTTGATTAAATATAGATATCTAGAAAATTAAATTAACATTTTTTGTGTATAAATATGTTACAAAAATGTATTTAATTTAAATTTTTAATATTGATATTTTGATTGGATCGTTGCTTTAAAATGTACTTGGTAATTTAAATTCGTGACGAATTTAAAGATAGTTAATAAGAGAAAATAAACAATTTCTTGTTGTTGAGAGTCTATAAAAAATCATTGTAGTTTTCCTTATTTTTTGTCTTAAAAATAGGCATTGCGATTAAGTAAAACATCTCTAGGAGAAACCACAATCGGTCAAGTGGTAAACTTGTTATCAAATGATGTAAATCGGTTCGATATAGCATTTTTATTTATACACTTTTTATGGATCGGACCTCTGCAAACAATTTTAGTCACATATTTTTTGTGGCAAGAACTTGGCGTATCATCATTAATTGGAGTGGCTATATTTCTTGTATTTACTCCACTACAAGGTATGTATAGAAACTATTGTCATAGATTTAATGCATTTTAAAAAGACATACAACTAGAAGTAAGCAAACATTTTAATTTAAGGATGGCTGGGAAAGAAAACTTCCGAATATCGGTCAAGAACAGCCTCTAGAACCGACGAAAGAGTAAGGTTGATGAACGAAATAATATCAGGTATACAAGTAATAAAAATGTATACTTGGGAGAAACCTTTTGCAGTGCTTGTACAATTAGCAAGAAAGTATAAATTTTGGATTTACATAATAAAACGTGATAATATACAGTTTTTAATTTTCATTTAAATTATTATAGGATGGAACTTAAACATATTAGAGGTGTGTTATTCATCAGAGTATTTTTACAATCTTTTATAATATTTCATCAAAGATTGACGTTGTTCATAAGTATTTTGTCATACATATTATTAGGAAACTACATCAACGTACAAAAAGTAAAGTCAAATTCAAATATATTGAAATAGTATTATATTTTATTTTTTGTAAACTTTTTTTTAGATTTTTATCATATTATCGTATTTAAAGATATTGACAACAATGACAGTATTTTTTCCACAAGGTATTTTAACGTTAGCCGAAATGTTAATATCCATTAAACGCATTCAGGTATAAATAAAAAACAATACTGTTAAAAAAAAAAAAATCATGTTAAATTCTAAAAATAATTATAAATAGTTAATAAACTTATAATTTTTTTGTTTTTAAAGGCATTTTTCCTACAAGACGAACAAAACGAAAAAAATAAAAATAATAAACCACGGCCTTTAAAACCAGAAGCAACAACGATAAATAGTATTGAAATGTTAAATTTTAATAGTGAACATTTTGCAACGATAAAAAATGGTAATGAAAAATATACCGACCAATCGAATACTTTTGGAATAGACGTTTCAAATGCAACGGCTAAATGGATACCAAATCAACCCGATAACACATTAAATAACATTAATTTATCCATTAGACCGGGGCGGTTGGTTACGATTATTGGACCCGTAGGAGCCGGAAAAGTATACAACTGCGCTTTAGAAAACCATTAAAATAATGACACTATAAAAACTTCTTTATTATGCAGAGTTCATTGATTCAAGCGATTTTAAGAGAATTACCACTCAGCGAAGGAAGTATTACCGTATCTGGTACAGTATCATACGCATCTCAAGAACCATGGTTGTTTAACGGTTCAATTCAGCAGAATATACTTTTTGGTTCGCCGATGGATTATAATCGTTATAATGAAGTGATAAGAGTATGCGCGTTGAAAACCGATTTCAAACAACTTCCGTATGGCGACAGATCTTTAGTAGGAGAGAGAGGAGTTTCACTTAGTGGAGGTCAAAGAGCGAGAGTAAATCTAGCGAGAGCTGTATATAAACAAGCCGATATTTATTTATTAGACGACCCTCTGTCTGCTGTTGACATGCACGTCGGAAAACATTTATTTGAAAAATG